AGACGTATCCTGACCTGACTCTAGGAATATGATTTTTAGTTCTGGGAAGGTGTATTCTGACTTGGTTTTTTTATAGAAATCAACTTGCCGTATTTATGTGACTGGAAAGGCATATTCTGACCTGGTTCTAAAAGTAATGTTTTTAGTTTTGGGGAGTAATACCCTGACCTGGTTTACTGAGGAGACGTATCCTGACCTGACTCTAGGAATATGATTTTAGTTCTGGGAAGGTGTATTCTGACTTGGCTTTTTTATAGAGATCAATTTGCCGTATTTTTGTGATTTGTTTTATCAAATTAGATTACTATTTAATCAACTATTTATTTTTGACTATGCAAATTATTATTTTTTTTGCTTCTTTCAGTCTTATACGTATATATATTTCTTATTTTAGAATGACCTCAAGACGGATGGCCGTTTACAAATATTTTGGAGCAATCATTATTCGGTATAAGTAGAGATTGGAATCGGTTTTAAAATTTCGGGGTTATCACGTGAATCCGTGATATTTTGGAAAATTTTCCAATTAAATTTTTAATAAATTCTAAAGATAAACCCGAATTATTAAAACCGGTTCCAATCTCTAGGTATAAGCAAATTTTCACCATTAATGAGTTTTGAACTTCCTATTTACCACTTGAAGAGTTGACAACTTATTCACTTCACTAAGTCACCACACTTCAATTAGCCTAAGTTTTAGTTTTTAGAGATTAAATAATATGTATTACAGATCAAAATATATTTAGATATTAATAATCAATAAAGAAACTAAGGCAAGACCTTACTTTTTTTAAAAAAAAAAAACAGTATAACCTTAACTATTATATTAATAAATAAACTTTTGACAATGTTACTAGTAAAAGTTTTGTTCATTTTAAGATTTTTAAAACCATTTTGGGATCTTTGATTCTAAGGTCTCACTAAGCATAAATACAAATTTTCAATAAAAAAAAACAAAGCAAAAACTTCATAAAAGTAAGTACTATAATACAGTATCATGACTAGCATTACTAAATAAATCAACCAATCAACATAAGATAAATTCGAAACAAATCAAATTTTATGGTATAATTTTGACCAAATTTCCAAAATTCAGGTTGGCCAAATTTGTGTTGTCCGGCCCAAATTACACACTAATTTTGCAGATTTTCATATAATTGGCATAAAAATATCGAGTTACATATCCCTGACCCCGACGCTACGAATTATTGGGGTACTATCGAACGTGTCGAACACACGGTGTATTATATATTAGCAAAGAAAAGAAAAAGAATGAAGGCTCATACAAAGAAAATTTTTAGTAAAATTTTCGCAATAAATAGACGTATGGTAGCCTTCGAAGGTTGGTAACTTTTTTTTAAATCCAGATTAATGGGAATGAACATTTAGATAAATTAGTAAGAAAAAAAAAGTGTGTTTATTTTCACAATACAAATGATAATGTGTTAAATTTTATGTTTCTGTCACGGGTGACTCGGTTTACTATAACCCGGTTATAAATTCTATTATGAAAATTGTTCTTTTCGCTCCCATATCTAGCAAGAATAAAGAAGTAAATATATTTTTTCTAAAACGCTTTTTATTCAATTTTGCATTTCTATTATTAAAATACGTTACCTGAATATAACTTTCTGATAAGAAAATCATTTGTGCGTTGATTTCTTCAACGATCAAGTCTTGAATTTGGTACCATTGATCTTTGCCGCGATGTTGAACATGCACTTTGTAAATGCCTTTACCTTTACCCGGCTTACCTTCATGACAAATATTGGCGATTAAATCATAATGAGTGCTAAGGTTTTCACCACTAAGGTTTTCTAAGTCTAAAATTGATGTTAGTAAACAATAAGTTAATGTAAAAAAATTAAACAAATTTATAGACACTAACATTCTCCCATATCGAGATTTTTAATAGGGAAATTGACAATTGTTGGATTTTTCTCAGCAGCCCAATTATTTTTGGTGAAGCGCTTTATATGAAATATGATGTAATTAGGTAGTCGTACCAATTGTGACCTTCTTAAAATACCAGCTGATTCCTAAATTATTGAATTTAATATAAGCCCGTCATTAAAAATTTTATTGAGTAACGAAATGAAATCTCATAACTTATTACCTGAGGCGTACGACCATCATATTTCGATAATATCGTTGTCAACGCAATCTAATATAAATATGAGGGAAATTTAAAGAACTTTGTAAATATATATATACGTATAGAGATGTGTAAATAAAAGGCAATAAATTTACTTGTGGAATAATGTTTTTTTCAACTTCATCTTGAAATAATGGTGGTGGTGGTAAATCCAAATTTAATAAAAGGAATGGCGATCTTTTTGCTACAATTTCTAAATTTTTCGAAATAAGGTAGTTAAGACATCGCGTAAAATCAAATAAATGAGTATAATATGATATACAACCTCTGTCAACGTCAAACGATCGATCTTTCTCATCGATATCCGTTTTCACAATAACTGGTTGTGATTCCACTTTGACCTCACCCTGGAATATTTTGTGAATTATGCCTAAGAAAATTTTATGAATTAAGGATAAAAGTAACCATTTTTTATTTTCCAATAGCCATTATAATCCTCATAACCAAAATATGCCCCACACGTACTACTATTTTGTTTCTTTGTTCCACCCAAATCTTTATGCAGTGAATTCAAAAACCAACAAAGAAAGTCAATTGGATCACTTTGTTCAGCAAGTTTAAATCTTTTATTACTGGCATTGGAAATTTCCTGAAGTAGTTCGTGAGGACTGACTTGACCTTTAAATGCTTGTGGATTCCAAATTTTACGAACAAGAATGCTAAATCGTTGTACTAATAAGCGCAGAAACTTAGATCATATAGGAATATTTGATAATAAATAATATAATCAGAAATAAATGATTACCCAACTGAGAACTATTTTCAAAATTTTGTAAGATGAAATAATCTCTAAGCAGCGGAATATGCGCCAATGCTTGTATTATCACATTAACATAATCATTGGCCTTCACATTATTGAGACCCACGAATCCTGATGGAAAAAAAATAATCAGTGAAAATATATATAATCGTGTGTTTTATTAATCAATTTATATGTTACCTGGTAGATATTTCTTATTGTTTAAATCATACGAGTGTTTTGTATTCTGATCCAGCAGAGCAACTTGTTCTTCGGTGAATGTTGGATGAAGCACATACTGATCACATACGATAAGTACATTTTTGTGTTGATTATGAGTACGAAAATATGTGTTATAATGCCATACCTTTATATCATTCAAGGAAGAATCTTTAACTTCATATCCATCAGGCAAAACATAAACCTAAAAGAATCAAACATGAGACAAATTAAATTTCGAAATTAAACAATACTAAACAATACCTAATACTAAATTAGTTTCCCACATACTTGTAGTGTATGTAAATTGATAAAGACATGATGGTCCTCATGCAGACTATGAAAATAAGCATGTGAATTACGTCCGCGCCCTGTCGAAATCAGTGTGCATAAACAAGAGCGGAACTATTAAAGGCTTTCAAAAATTCACTGATCTATGCTTTCTTACCTTGAAAATATTTACCGCACACTAAACAAGCGTATACATTTAGATTTGATAAAGAAACTGTGCATACTTTTTCGAAATCAAAGTCCAACATATGACGATTTATCTAAAGTATATACGAATCAATCAAAAAAATGTGATATTTTCGCGTTCTAATTCAGAAATATGATCAAATAAAAATTCACCGTATCTAAATATAAGGAGCTTGAACTCGAATTGGATGATTGGTTATCAAGACGAGGCCTTTTTGATTCTCTGCCTATCGTACTTATTTCAGAACTCATTTCTCGCGTGTTTCTGTTCACGGATTACACATTTCTCCGATATTAGACAGTTATCGAAAATTGTGTAATATGGCACGCCAATCAAATTACACGAACAACAAGCATTGGCATGTGACTTTATTTATTTATACTTTTGAACTCCCTATTTCGATCAGACTGAAGATCATACACTCTTTCTTGTTATCGAGAGGACTCACGACCACCATGAACGATCAACAAAGACCATTTGTGTCGAACGTTACAGGCTATCCAATGCAATATGCCACACAGCCTATTGCACCGAGAGGAGTGCAACAAACTCCGTATCCGTATTCTCGAATGCAATATCCGATTGGACAATCGCAGGTTCGTTCGTTCACAAAGAATTATCTTCTCGCGTCGAATTCCTGCGTGCTTGTCAAAGTTGAAGGTCACGGCAGTTTTACCTTAATCTATCGTGCCCATTTTGGATTATGCATCATTTGCACCGGAAGCTCGGCTTTTTCTTAGTGTAACATACATCTACGTGCATACTTCTGTATTAAGAGAAAATAAAATCCAAGCTGATGTATAAATTTAACATTTGCTTAAGAGACCACATTTAATTTATTAAACTTTATTCACAATTATATTGCTATATTCAAACCTTTGTTCCTTTACAGTTAATGATGAACGCACCTACTCAACCTCGCCCAATTCATAATACTGGTCCGCCAATTGTAGCGTCTAGCCCTGCACCGGTGGTGCGAAAACGTACCATTCCAGAAAATGCTACAATGAACGCAATGAATACGCAAGTAAAGTAAGTTTAAAGGTTTCATCTAGATCTTTTTTCTCAATTTAGAAACTTAATACAGACATTTTTTTGAGCAGAAAAAAGCGAGCGATTGACAGAAACATCCCAGAAAAGGTATAAAGCTTGATTAGATGGATAGATCGCTTTTTTGGGCATAACTAAATCATTTTACTTCATACTAGCTCGATACACTCGTTCCAGAATCACAATTATATACAGAACTCCAAGAATTTGAAAGAAAATTGGACTCGACAATTGTTCGCAAAAAATTAGAAATAACAGAATCTTTATCAAAGCCGATGAAGGTATTAAATTTGTACAGTTTTTATAATAGCACGCGATCACCGTCTTCGAATTGTTTTTAACACAGTATCAATATTGTTAACAGGTTAAGCGTACCCTCAGAGTATTTATATCTAATACATCATGTAATCAACAACCTGTATTACAGGAAGCTGAAGGAAACGAAATAGATTATGGTAGTAACATTCCGGCCTGGACATTAAAGATTGAGGGAAGGTTACTTGATGTAAGTTGGCTTAATTTGTGTTGCTGGGTATCCTTGTATTTAAAAATTTATATGATTTTACAACATATCTTAAAATATTTAATTTAGCCTATAAATGCGAAAAACACCAGGCCGCCTGCTCGAAAATTTTCTCATTTTTTCAAGTCCATAATTGTCGAGTTAGATAGAGATCCTGAAATGTATCCTGAAGGCAATTTAATTGAAGTAAGAAACTAGAGAACCTGTGTTTTTACATTTTTTAGAGGATTTATTTGCTGTTATAAAATTTATCAGTAAATAACAATTAGTTTTGTAAAATTACATAGTGGAACAAAGCGCCAGATTCTGATGACGTTGACGGATTCGAGATAAAACGTAAAGGTGACTCAAATCTCAAAGCAAAAATATTCTTAAATCTAGATCAACAGCCGCCAAGGTACAAATTGTCACCTGAATTAGAAAGTATTTTGGATATACAAGAAGAAACAAAACCAGGCATTATTATGGCTTTATGGCAGTATATAAAAGTATACAATCTTAATATAAATTAATTAAAAAAATATGTGTGTACATTAACTGATGTTGATATTTATATTTTGTTATAGCATAACAATTTGCAAGATAATGAGGATAAACGGATAATTAACAATGATATGCGATTATACGGGGTAAAATTCCTGAAAACATCACGATGTTTATAAATATCAGATTATAAATTGTCTAATAATCTGATTTTAGATTTTTAACGCTACACGGATCGCTTTTCCACAAATTCCAGAATTAATAAGCAAGCATTTGGCGCCTGTCGATCCTATACTGATAGAATATACAATTCGGTATGCGTTTATAATGAATGTGGAAATAGGTTTGGTTATTTTTTGTCGGGAATGACGCTGAAATCGGATGTGAAATTTGGACTTAAATCCAAATTTATTATTTCATTATAAACTCTAACCATAAATCCTAAAAAAGTATCCTCAAAAAAATTTTAAAATTTTATATTAAAATAAGTTCGAATCTTAGCATCATTCCCAACATTCTCATACGAACTAACATCTATTTATTGTTCTAAGAGTTGATAAAGAATTTCATCAATCGCGGTATGCTTATGATATTGAAGTCGAACTTGATGATCCAAATAAAATGAGACTTGCAGCGCTCGCGTCAAATTCTATCAATCAAAAAGAAATACAGAATTTAGACGACAAGGTTTTAAATATTCACATTTTTCACTTTACAATCACAAATTACCAATATTAATCATTCCTTGTCTACCGTAGATCGTTCAATGTGTACAAAGCATTAATAATTCTAAAACCAAACGTGACTTTTTACTAAATTTTGCGAATTCACCTATAGACTTTATTAATAAATGGATTGCTAGTCAAAGCCGTGATTTAGAGGTTTTTATTTCAATGTTCTATCAATGATAATTAGATTTATATATTTATGTAATTATACAATTTTTATTTATATAATTATAGGTTATTTTGGGTGAAAGTAAAGTTAACCTCGAGGAACAGCGAAAGTCTGGATTCTATCAACAAGACTGGGTCAATGAAGCCGTTTTTCATTACACGGCTGCAATGAATAAAAATAATAAAAATTTGTTAATGTGATTTAAAGATTGTAATTATTTATCAATAATAATAAATACAATGTGTGTGCTATTATGAGGCTGCACTATATAGGCATAGCAATATGTTTATTTTATTAATACGTATAACCTAAATTTTAGCATTATTTTTTATAGTAAATTTATATATAATATAGAAAATTAGAAACGCAGAATGTTAATTTTTATAGTTTGAATATTATTTACATTTTTTGTTAATTATTTGGTCAAATTAGATTATTAAAAATAAAAAAGTTTAAAATAGATGTTTAGATTTTAAATTAATTTTTTGTTAAATTTTTTATATATTTAAACCTTTATATAAAAGAATTAACTTTTATATAGTTTTATATTTTTGACAGTTAATAAAATTAAAGCAATATAAAATGTAAATTTTATAACTAAGTAGTTAAGCTTTCATATTCTTATAGTCAAGATTGATGGTTTAAGTTTAGCTAAAGGCAAAGATTTTAGTATCTGTAATTCAAAAAGATAGTCAATAATTGAACACAGAGTCTTATAAACAAAAATCAAATGCAATATATAATTGAATTAAGAAATTTTTAAAAGAAGATTAACTTTGCAAAATGTAAGCATTATATATAATAGTGATAGTACAAAAGGTTTTATTACACAAAGAGTTATATAAAGAAGTTTTTAGAAACAGGTCAGTACTAATATTTTTGTATTCAACTTGTAAAGTACTTGATTTGAAAGATAAAATCAAAGTAATACAAACTGAAGTAATAAGAAAAATAGTAAATACAAAATAAATTTATAGCAAAAGATTAGTTTTCTTAAGATTATAAGCAATTCTAATATTATAAAATGTTTTGATATAAAGGATATAGTAACCTAGTGAAGTGATCAGATTGTCAACCTCCTAAGTGATAAGTTGAATATTCAAATCTTATTTATTTATTTTTTTTTTAAAGGTTAAACTAGCCTCTTTTAGAACTAAAGTTTTATTCAATAAATTAAAATATAGAAACTTGTAGTCGAAGACTTAAAAAAATCACCTTACATTAGAAAATACAACTAGCTATATATATATTTTTGATGTCTAATTTAAGTAGTCTGCTAATGGTTCTATATTAGTTGTTATACTTGCAACCCAACTAGAGGCATTGTCTATTTAAATCTTCTGTATTATAATCTTTACTATATTACTAGATTATCTTTGATATATATGTTAGTTAAAAAAATATAGATACTTTTACTTATATCCTTAGAATCTCATATCTTATTTTATATAGTATATTTTTAGAAGCATCATTACTAGAGTCTTTTATGTCTTACATATAGCTAGTTTAGTTTTATATAATATACTATAGTTACCTAATACTTGCAATCACAAGAATTATTTATTTAACTACTATATTATATTATTTTACTCTTGTAAAGTTTACTCAAAATCGATATCTATTTTTTTGACTTTTTTTTTTTACTTCTCTATTATCTAACTCAAAATCTGACAAACTACTTAAACTCCTAATCCAGATAGTTAGTATAATATATCTTAGTATCCTTTTCTTCTAATGATTCTGATAATCTGATTGGTCATATGTTTCTCTACATATTTTTCTATCTAGTTACATCTGTCTATTCCTTATTAGGGTTTTTTAGACTTTTATTAGTCTGATAGCATTATCAAAGATTTATGCTACCTCTTTATTTAGAAATTTTTAAGTAAGCTTCTGTTTTCTTAGTTCTTGGTTTTCTATATCTGATGGTCTTATTGTAAGTTTGCATCAAAGTTTTATGTAACACTGGTTATTAACATTTTTTTATATATATATAATGTTACACTTTGCATAGATACTCCAGACTTCTAATAATGAATAGAATCTGATTGGTTGTACTTAAGATTACAGATATCTAAATCCAACTAATTAATAAAAGATGTTTTTTATAATATAGATTAATTTCCAAATTTTATCATAGATGGAATTTGAATCTTAAACCTGCTATTTGAAAAATAACAACTCAACTACTACATTAAGATCATTATTCTTGAATATTCAAATTTTATTGATATCAAAATTTTAGATAATCACTTATATAATATTTATATTATAACAACTATTACCAATAATTAGAATAGGATATTTGTAATAGCAGTCATATTAGCATGACTGACAGGTCATAGAACATCTGTGCAATTATATAAAAGAATGTAAACTAACAATTAGATAGTGTAAACACTAGATAAGTTCTTATAACTATGTAAATCTATTGAAATTAGATAACAAGAAGTTTATTTAGAAAGACCTAAGTAGAAAAATAGTTAAATTTTTAATGATGCTACTATAAAAGTTAGTCTAAAAAAACAGATACCAAGATTGTAATACTTAATTATAGTATCTAAATAGACAAAAACCTTCAGGTTGAAAGTCTTAAAAGTACTATCAATTAGACTATTAGAACAATTAGAAAAAAAAAATATAGGGTCGATTCAATATACCAATAGACTGGTTGTAGTCTTACACAAGCTATTTGAATTAAAAGTCTGATAAAAAGACAGGTAAAAAGGTAAAGATATACTAAAGTACTGGAATTATGCTATAAAATACAGTAGATGCTAAGATCTGTATAAACTCTACAAAACCAAGTAATTAAATTATATAACTCTAATTACAAATATTGATTCTGCTATAATAATATCTAGATTAATTATAAAAATAGATATAGAAGATTCTGAAATTTTATCTTAAGGATAAAATAGTTCTAAGTTTAAAATAATAATCTGGTTATTTAAGTATAACTCAGTAATATTAATACAAATTACAGGTTCAAAGGATTTAAAGTAGTATATTTAAGCAGAAGTATTAAGTATGACAATTGATAGAAAATGTTTAAATGAACTTCTTAAATAAGTAATATATAAAAATTATATATGTAGTTAATTATATGCTTTTTTATAGTGGTTTATAGAATTACATTATCAAAAAAGTTATTAATAAAAGTTAAAAAACTAAAAAAGTTGTCTTAATACTAAAAAAAAAATAAATTAATATAAAAAATAGTTATATATATAAAGAATTAACCTGTTTTATATATTTAAAAACACTAAGCTAGAGTTTTGGTTACACTTATATAAAAGTTTATAATAAAAAAAAGAGAACATACTAATGTAAATATTATACTAATAATAAATAAAAAATATTTTAATTATTATTATATAATATTAATTACTGAACTCTCTTTTGTAAATCCCTTAACCAAAATTTTTAGAAAGCAAAACTTAGAAAAACTCAATAACTAGACTAGAAAACAAGACTCAAGATACTAACAAAATGTCAGAATAGCAAAAGTTGCATATAGTTTAATAAAAAAATACAAAAGAGAATTTATAAAGATAGCAAAGAATAGTATATAAAGAATTTTTGATGAAAAATAAAAAATTTTTCGAAAAATTAGGGAATTGCTATAATCCTGTATTATAGATCCTTCAAGTTATACAAGAAGTTGCAATAGTATAGGCAAAGTAAAAAAAAACACATAAATTAAACTAGTTTAATTTAGATACAACATATAATATAAAAGTATATAGAAAATGATTATGCAATATGAACAGAAGTCTGTTAGAAGAATATAAAAAAAGCCTTAATACAATCTTCACAAGAAGAGCATATAAGGCAGTGAACAGTATATATAATAAAATCTTCTTCAATGAAGCAAGCAAGACATATGTAATATCTAGTAGAAATAATAATATTATTGTAGTACTGTAATAAAATTTACTAAAAACTATTAAGCTGTAGCAAATTTTAAAGTGATGAAGGTCGAGTGAAAGATCTTTTATTTAAAGGAAAATAAAATAAAAGAAAAG